ATATATATATATATATATATTTCCATTTTTCTCATTTGAATGTCCTTGAAAGAACTTTGTATTTTAATTTTCAATAATGTTTGAGTTGGGGGCCGGCTAACTTCTGTGAAATGAGTTATTTTGGTTTCTACGATCAATAATTGGTTGGGATGTTCCAGTTTACAATCTGATCGCGTCAGTTGCTTTTTTGTCTTTATTTATTAAAATGAAAATTAATAATTTAAAATAACTTTCGAATTGAGTTTTTCTGTCTCATAAGACCTGTACTTAGAATAAGCTCAAGCAGTTGGGTCATATGTCTGATAAAAATATGTAATTTTTGAGAGAATATTACGTACAATCAAATTCAGTCAAATTACGCTTTTGTTGGTAGCCTGACATTTTTCTTTGGAATATAATTTAAAATACCATCTTCAATATTCACTATAATTTAAAAGGAAAAAATTGTATAGTAATGAAATTCTCTAAAAATTACTTTGCATGCAGCAGTTAACTATGAGTATATGTATAGTTTATTGGTTTTATTCTGCTAATTCTCAAGACCTTTTACTTAATTGTTAGTTATAAAACCAATGGGCTTATTAATGAGCGAGATTTCTTAATAAAAACATTAATTGCCATTTGATGATCAACAAGAGATGATGCCATAGAAAACCTGTGAAGCAACTAAATTACCGTCAACATTTTCTTTGAAGAAAAAATGAAAAGATTAGTTTATCGGGCTATGAAATTTTATACGACAACAAACCTACGATTATAACGTTTGATATTAATTTCAGTTAATAATGCAATATGCATACACGTTAATTAACTCAACTTTTTATAGAAATCTCATGTTGGGATTTCAATTTGCTCTGCAGCCCCGCTGTTGTTTTCATCCTTATCTTTGATATATTGTTTTTCGTGGCTACTTGTCTCATAAAAGATATCGAAGATATGGAAGGTGATTTGAAGTAAGTTTTATATTTATCTCATCAAATCTTACAAACGTAAACCTTTTCCACATCAGTTACTTTTTAAACTAAAATATTTATAGCTTCTGTATTCAATATCTTTGAAGACATCATTAAAATATTATAGGTATAACGTTCGAACATTTGCGGCGAGATTTGGTGCTAAAAATATGACACTTCTTAGTATGGGAATTTTGCTGGTAAATTATATTGGTGCTATATTGGTTGCCATTTACATGCCTCAGGTATTTTTTTTTTTTTTTTTTTTTGGCTCTTCATCTTCAAAGGATAGATACATAGTTTTTTTTTTTCTTCTTCTTCTTACTAATCTTACATTCTTTATTGAAAAATGCCTATGAATTTTTTCCTTTGTTTCTATGTTTCTTTCTTGTAACTCATTTATTTATTAAGGCAGTAAATAACCAATTTAGCCTTTATATTCACCAAAGGTTATAAACTTACCGAAGTTATCAATTATTAATAAACTGTGTGAAAAAAATAGTCAGAAAAAAATCAAAATGAATTTTATATACTTTAAAAAAAAAAAAAAAGATTCCTTCAAGGTTTTTTATTTTTTCCTTCGACTAGTACATTATGTGGAGACGAAGAACTAATGAATAAGTTCTTTCATGTATCACTTACAGGTTTTCAAGCGTCACTTAATGTTAATTACTCACACAATCTTTACCTTATGGTTACTTTTTCAGGTTTGTCATACATGAATAAAGAAAAAATAAAATGCAATTGAAAACTCTGTTTTAACTTCTTTTCTTCTTTGCTTTCAGGTTAGAAAGATGGACAAAGCAAATTATGTAAAGGTAATTAGATAATATACATCTTCAATTCAACTACATGTTCTCCAAGTGAGTAATGAACTATTGAAATTTATGACAGAATTAATTTTATTATGTATGCAGGAAGCAAGTGCAAATTTTTATCAATTCCTCTGGAGGCTTCTTACATTAGAGTTTTTCTTATTTCCTTTCATATAGCAAATTAATTGTCAGTTAATTATACGTTTTTCCTATATCCCTATACGTTGGACATGGGGATATAATAAAGTGAGTTGTGTGTAACATTGTTAAGATTGTATCATTTTATTTCTTTTCCTGAATAATGACCAATAAAACAAATATTAATATAGTTGTAAATCACATAAAAATATAAAGATTGGTAAGAAACAATCTGTTGTAAGAAAATGATTAAAATAACCTTGATTATGCTAAAGTATAAGATTTTTTTTCATACACTCTTTCTGTTAGTATTTTAAATAAATGGTGAGAAAAAGTAACTGATATAAGAGTCGCTCAAAACATCTAAAAAAACCTGAAATTTAAATCTAAAAAAGAATAATCCTCGTAACAATTAACATGTATCCGTGAAAGCGTGAACGCCATTTTACCGTCCCTGCCATTAATGAATTAATCTACCTTGAGGTCGACGCTTTCGCCGTGCATGCCGCCGGCGTTCTCAACGGAGTTCGGCTGGAGAAAATGATGGAGATAAGAGGAGGGGAACAAGGGTATTTTCAAGTATTTTGGGAAATTTTAATGTAAAATAGGCTATTAATTTTTATCTCCTAAATTCCTGCTACTATTTTCAATTCATGATCCTCAAACTGCTATTTTGTTCCTTCTACCACTTTTTATTTATCTTTTAGGATTTTTTTCTGTACGCCGACTTATTGATCGGACTAATTTTTAACGGTTAGATATGTCAAAATCACATCAAATTAAAAAAATATACATAACAGATAGTTTTTGACATAAACTTAAAGGTTAAAAAGTAAAAAATTACTGGTAATTTAACTTTTTTAATTTTAGAAGAGAAACTCTCTTATCTTTTACATAATAACTAAAGAAGAATAAGTTTCGTTAACTGTCCAAGGCTAACAAAACGTTTCTCTCAAATTCTTACCTTTATTTTTTACTTTTTTTTCTCCTTTTATATTTCTTCCAACAATTTTTTCCTCGTTTCTTTCTTTTTTGTCTCCCTCCTTTCATTCTTTTTTTAACCTTATTATACATTCCCTTTTTTTAAAATTGACCCTCATAAATATACTTTTCTTTTTAATTCCTTGTTGAAATAATTTTTCCTCATACATATTCCTATCTAATTTATTTAAAACAAAAAACGTGTCTCCTTCATAAAACGTTTCATAAGGTATCTAATTTATTTAAAACAAAAAACGTGTCTCCTTCATAAAACGTTTCATAAGGTATCTAATTTATTTAAAACAAAAAACGTGTCTCCTTCATAAAACGTTTCATAAGGGTTTTTTTGCATACTTTCCTTCATTTTTTCCCTTTCTCTTTTTTGTTTGGTCTTCCTCTTTTTTTTTTAATCCTATTATACATTCTTCTTTTTTTTATTTCTCCAAATAAGACATTAATAAATATATTTTTCATTATTACCTACAGAATCTTACGCGCGGTTACAACTAGTAAATAATTTTAAAAAACTATATAACTTGTCAAAATATAAATAGTTAAATTACTATTTGTTCTCACCACTTTTAGGATGGACTAGAGTTGTAAGTTTGGAATGGGCCGACCTTTTCTCCTTTAGGGTTGGCCCGGTCAGGATCAAAATCATATTTTTAAAGATTTTTTTAAATAATGTCTTATGAAATTTATGGCCGGGCCGGGCCGGCCCTAAATTTTTTAGGCTTCCGACCCTAAACTCTTTAAATTTAAGGCTCGGTTGGACCGACCTTCTCTCTTTTAGAGCCAGACTGGCCCGGTCTGAAATTTCACTTCAAGCCGACAGGCTCAGACCAAACCTGACTGACGGCCCAAACTTACACCTTTAGGATGGACTTTTTGGTAAGTTTCATGTCTTATGGATTTGAATGTTTTATTTTCATTATAGATGCTTAATATCTAACTTTGGATGTTTTATTTATGTAATGAATCAGATACGGATGTTCATAACTGTGAAATAAATAAATTTGATTATAGTAAAAGTTTGTTTCTAATCATAGCTGAGAATGGATAAATATTAGTCCAAACCAATTAAAATAATAACTATTTTGGTTTAGTTTTAATTTAAATTCCTTAAATATAGTAAAACCTTGATAAATAAATATTCGATAAATTAATAACTTGATTAAATAATAAAATCATTCGGTTCCGACTTAGACTAATGTACTAAATTAATTATCTCACTAAATGCATGAGATAATAGTTTTTTATAGAATCCTTTAGGGTCCAATAAAAATATAAATTAATAAAATATAAAAAAAATAATAATACATACTCATTAACATTCTATATACAATCTTCTACGTATTAATTAAATTTTTTTTTAAAAATAGACATCAATTTTATGTGTATGAAGTGCTTATTAACATTCTATATACAATATACTCACATTAATTTTTGGACTCTATGTATAGGTATATAAGATTTATTATATGCATGATAACTTTTGACTACATCCACTAATTTTTTTTTTTATTTATAACTCATACTGAATTTTGGCCAAACCAAAAAGTATTGTACTAAGATGACACAAGCCATTAAAATGTAAAAGTCTTTTAAATTAATAAATATTTTTTATTAATAAATTATTTATTTATCAAAAAATAAATAATTTCGCTAATCTTTTTCTTATTTTCAATAGCATTATTTTATAGAGGCCACTGTAATTTGACTTTGATTGGAAATCTCCAAACCGACCTGTGGTTTTTGCTATACTATAACAAATCGTTCACTTCGCGGATTTGAGTTTTCAATTCGAACTGAGGTGTGGTATTTTTTTAGAGCTTTTAACTGTAACAAAAAAAGTTAAATGTGACATTTTCTGAGAATTTTTAACTGTAGAAATCTAAAACTGAAAATTTAAATCGGTGAAATAAATAAGACCCAAATTTGTACTTTCGGTTTGGCTTGGTTGGATATGACTAATTAAATTATACTTAATCAATTAATTAAAATGTTACACCTCATTTAATGAACTTTAATGGAATTGACATATAAGGGGACGTTTGGTAAGGGAGTTCGTACCTTAATTCGAATCATATTTCATAATTTATTACAGTATTTTTTTTTATAAAAAATACACATAAATAAAAAATAATTTTAATCTCATAATTTTAATATGAACTAAACGTAATCTTGATTAACCATCCTTCCATTACTCACATCTAAATTGAAAAAGAAATCTCTCCCTCCGCCGTTGGAGCAAAAAGTACTTTAAACAATTTTCAAATGATATCAGAAAGTTACTCTGACACCGATATCACCAGAGTTGAGAGCAATCATGACGTTCACAATACTGATTGAGCACATAATTTGAAAATACCGCCACCATAGGCCTGCAAACAGCGGTGCTAAATATTCTACCAAAAATAAAAAAATAAAACAATCCGATGCTAAATATGCTTGAATTTTGATTTGGACCATTGAAAAATAGAAATAAACGTGAAGGTTTTTATCATGGGATTTGCCTTTAGTAGATTTCTATATCTAGATATCGTTTACTAGCTTGCACATCTAAGCTAAGTACTTCGGTCCTTTAAAAGAATAGGTCCGCATATAAAAGTGCAAGTGTAATTTGTGTTTTGTAACATGACATTTGATATATATAAGGTATTTACTTATCATACCACCTCTCAATATTGTTATAGATAACAAATAAATAAAATTGATCTAATGTATTTTGTGTTTCCTTAAAATTTTACATTATTGCGAACATACAATCACAGAAAATTTTTTTTTTTCTCTCTCTCCCACACGAACTAGAGATAAAGTGGATGACCACCGAAGCTCAGGGGCTGTCCTCAAGCGTGCCATTGGGCTCCCAACCATGAAACATGGTCCTCCGACTCGTCTCGCCGTGGGCTTATTGTTGGTGGTGGTGGTGTACGATGTGGTATCTCTATTTGGACAGATCTAAACAGTTTGTAGCTTAGAAACGAAACAGATGGGATGGGCTTTATTTTCAGACGAGTTTGTCGTTTTGTGTTTGAGATCTCTTGAGCAGCTATCTTCCTCGATGGTCCTTTGGCCGGTTACTCTTCACCAGAGGTTTCTAACGGCGGTGGTCAGAGCTTATTTTGTTACAACTTTTGTGTTTGTAATAAGGGCAGTGGTCTCTCCATCCGATCCTTGTTTGGTTTGTTGTTTGTTGTTAGATTTTAGTAATCAGCTTAAAGCCTACTGTACGTCTCCTGATAGGGTGGTCTTGGTTCGGCTAAATTTTTTTAGGCCGTATAGATGTCACCTCTGTGTGGGTTTAGCGATCTGTCCTCCAGCGCTCGAAAGCCAATGTTGATAGGAAGATTTTTTTTCAATTCGAGCCTTAAATTTGCTCGTTGTTAGTGTGCCGAGGTGTTCTCATGTTTTCAGGCCTCAAGCGTGCATTTATCTTTCTGATGAGTCATTGGCATTGTACTGAGATGATTGTTTATCAGGTTTTGTTTAAATGCAATTTTCCTTTTATAAAGAAAAATGACATCACTATATAGATATTAAAGTGAGTGTATGGGGGAGGTCAGAGTTCTAGAGAGAGAAAGTTAGAGAGAAGTGCTATGTATCAAGCTTAAAGGAGGGGTTCTCTGGGGTCGGTGCTCCGGTAATTCGTCGGGCTATCAGCCTCCAAAGTTTGTCGAATAGATCGATAAGGTCACCGACGTTGGGTTCATGCCGATGGAAGTGTGGATAGTCACCGAAATGGAGTTATTTAAGGGGAAGCACTTTTTGGTCTTCTACCTTAGATCTATGACGCGTTTGCCACGGGATTCCATTGAAACTCTGGGATCTAGATCATGGAAGGGAGATAAGGAAGGTTGACTGGAGCGTGTGGCAGTCATCGCTCGTTGGCGGTAGTGCTGGGTCCCATGCGCCGATGAGCCGCTGTGTCTCCAGTACTTTTGTTGCCATTTCAAGAGCTTTTCTCTGCGCCACTTCTACAGTGTTTCACACATCCCGGCGTTAAGAGGCTTGATTTTCTTGGTTTGATTTCTGGGGATCTTTGTAGAGTTTTTTTTGTTTTTATATTTTATGTTTTTATTTGTGTTGTAATATCGGTGATGGTGTCCCTATCTACCGACATTAGGTTGTAGTTAGAGGGTGGTCTTATTCCAACCGCTCTAAGTTTGAGTTATGTAGTCAGTTTGGGGACTAAAATGTGGTTAATCTAGAGTCGTTTTGAAGTAGCCGATCCCTGTTATAGTGCCACTAGTTGTATGAGTTTTTACCGTTATTGGGTAAGAGGTACGTTTGTATTGTATAGTCATGTGAGTAGCACTCATTTCTTGATTCTAATTTTGTCTTGTATCTTGACCTTTAGTGGCTTTTTAATGAAGTTATACTATTGTCTTAAAAAAAATTTAAAAGTCATCTCTAGTGTTTTTGAAAATAATACAAAAATAACCTCTTGATTGGTCAATTTTTTAACATAAAAAAATTATACCCTCATTAATATGCATTAAATATTATTTTAAACATCGATTAACAAAATAATAAATAAAATAAATTCAAATCTAAAAATTTCTAAAAAAAAAAAAAGCAAAAACCCCGACTTCATCTTCACTTCCTCGGGGCAAAAACAAAAATTATCCATCTTTGGATTGTCAATCCCACACCAATTTATATAATTCAGCAATATAAACAAACTAAGCACAAGAATTTTTTTTTTTTTTTTTTTAAAGAAAAAAAAAATACTTTTCAGATAAAGTGAGCCAACCAATATTTCGAGGTAGCAAAGTATAGTACTGATGTTGAAATGAATTGTTAGTATTATTTTAAAAAATCATTTTTAAAGGAAAATTGCATTTAAACAAAAACTACCTAATAAAACCGATGTCTATTAGTGTCTTTTCATTTATTTTTTTTAACAGGAGCTATGTGCATGAAATCGTGTTTATATTACCTTTTCCTGCTTTGCAATATATGTTTCATTCAATAAAAGGTACTTGTTTCTTATATTTGATAACTTTTTCTTCTTTTATTTATTTCCTTTCCCATATTTCTTTGCTTATAATTGCAAGGCTTTGATTAGGGGTGAGAAGGAAGGAAGATATGAGATTAATGAAGTTGGGGTCTCTTTTCTTTGATCGTTTAAAATAATGCTTAATACATATTAATATGTTAGTCTCTGTATTTTGAAAATTTTAATCGGTATGGTTAACAAAATAAGTAGTATTTTTCTTTTTATTTATAATATTAAAAGGGTAAACTTGAGATTTGGAATGAACACAAAGATATTCAAGGACCAAATCCTTATCTAAGTGTACAATATTTTTTCCTTCTTATGTAAGATTATACGTATAATTTATAATGAATGAAAAATTTAGATCTTGTAAGGTGTGCGCTTTCGAAATATTTAGATTAAGTTTTGATACAAGATTATACGTATGATGGATTAAATAATATTTTGTTTGTCTATTTAATTATTGGTATTAACTAACAAAGTAATCAAGGAGAAAAGGGGAGAAAAAACTACAACAGAAAAATAAAGTAAATATGATATAGAAGCAAAAGTGGAAATAATAATCCGTTAAAAAAAGTGGGAATAATAACTTCTAAAACAAATGAAAAATTAAGGCTTGGGACACAAAATCCATGCGTGGCAGAGATTCTGTCCTCTGAAACCCAGCACACATTCCTTGCAATGCAACAAAAATTGAAGGAAAAACAAAATAAATAAATTACCATGTCAAAGTAAAAAATCACGGTTTTACAATTGTTTCCATATACACTAGCTGATCATTTTTTCTTTGTTATTTCTACAATTTCTCTTCATTAAATTCTTAAATTGGTAAATTAAAGGAGTGGGAATTTTTTATTTAGCAACGTTTACGAAATACACATAATGTTATGAAAATAAATTGGCCCGATCAAAACCAATTAATCGCGATTCTTAATTGTTATCTCACCTTCATTCTATGTTGTCGATGATCAAACCACGATTTAGGCGATTGCAACTACATGTGTCAATAGATTAGAGGTTATTCCAATGATCCTACATATGTAGTAGGTTGTTGGTTACCAATGGTAATCCAACCGTTCACTCTGATGATTGGCGGCCTAACCGTAATGTTGTTGTTTATCATGGCAAGTCTTTGCAAATAAATACGACCAAAATTGTGGCATGTCGCGACAAACTTTTCATGCAACGTAAATTTTTAAAAATAATAAAAAAATATGTACATATAAAGACAGACATATAACACACATTGCAACAGCCCCACAAAAAAAAAAAAAAAAAAAAAATCCATACATCTTACTAGTTTAAAACAAGGATAGTAATAGTTTACTGTGTTTATTTTAATAACAATAAATAAATAAATAAATAAATCGTTCGAGGTATGATGAGAAGTGTTCTTCGGTCTTGACCATTATTGTAACACACAAATTGGACATCCTCACGAGCACATACTATTTTTTTATTGTTTATTGTTCTCTAAAAAGAAATGACCATAAAATTTATACAAATGATATCACGAAATAAGGGCTCGTTTAGTTCGTTGATTCGAGTTTTTAATTCGAGTTGAGATGTGATTTTATGTGAAAATTTTTTACGGTAGTAAAAAAATTAAATGTGACTGTTTGTGAGAACTTTTTACTGTAGTAAAACTTAAATTTTAAACTCGAATCAGCGAAATAAACTGGAATTAAGTAAAAAAAAGAAAAAAAGAAAAAAAAAAGAAACTGAGGCGATACTCAAAAAAAAAAAAAAAAAGAGAGGAAAAAAGAAACTGAGGCGGCGTTTGTTTCTGGGATACACCATAGCAGCAGTGAAGCATAACCCGTTTTGCTTGGTGAGAAAGTTTGAAGGCCGAAGTCAAAGAGTAGACTTGGGTTTTTAAAGGCTCTTTTCGCTCCGATTCTCTCTCTCTCTCACCTTTTCTATTCTGTTTCCTTTTTCTATTTTTTTCCCCTCATTAACAGCATTCCAAAAATAAAAAATAAAAAAATCACTCTGGTAATCACACACACTCTTCTATGCTCTTCTTCAGTGGCGGTGGAGGACTCTGAAGAACCAGACACTTCAATGGAGAAGAGAACCAGAAAAAGAAAACGCTCCAGAAGAAAGCTCATTGACAACGAAAGAGTTGAGGTATATATAAATAACAATGCTGCTTTTCGAAATTCGAAATTCCCTTTTCTCGTTGTTTATCTTCAAGAAAATTCCTTTCTTGCTTTGTTCTTTCGTTTGGTTGTCGTTTTGCTTTCTTGCTTTTTGTGGATTTTCGTCTCTGTTTTCGAGACTCGCCGGCGCCGGAGATGGCGACAGCTCTGGTCTGCTAAAGCTCGGGTTGAAGCCGGAAAGTTGCTTTGCTGTTTGGCTACATTTTGGTATTTCTTCTTTTTATATTAGGCGAATGATCGATAAACCGAAAAATTTTCAGGTGAGAAGCGAGGAAGAAGGGTTTGATGGGTCGTGGCACTCCGGCATTGTCATTGCATGCCACGATAAAGGGCACCGTCATGTCCAGTACGATCACCTTCTCGCCGAGGGCGGGTCCGGAAACCTAGTCGTCGTCGTTAGAGTGTCGGCGACTCTCGACGGCATCGTTTCAGGCAATCGGAGCTACTCCTCGCACGGCCACCGCGGAAACATAAGGCCGTCACCGCCGCCGGCGAATTGGTTGCAGAATTGGGGGCTTTCCTACGGTATGTGCGTGGATGCGTTGTACAAGGACGCGTGGTGGGAGGGTGTGATCTTCGATCACGACGACGGGTCGCCGGAGAGGATGATTTTCTTCCCGGATTTGGGCGATGAGATGAGGTTGGGAATTGAGAAGTTGAGGATCACTCAGGATTGGGATGAGCTGACTGAGAATTGGACTCGGCGTGGGATGTGGGTGTTGCTTGAGTCCATTGACGAATTCGAGAAAAATTGTCTCCTTCCTGTCTCTGTTAAGCAACTGTGGTATGATATGAGGGAAAAGAAGAGTTTTAAGAAGGTGAAGGACTGGACTTGTAAGGAAAATCATTTGTGGGAGAGGATGGTTTTAGAGGTTGTTGATGAGTACTTGAGATTTTCAGCGAAAGAACTGTCTCGGAGATTAGATGAAATCCAGGAAGAATTGATTGATTCTGATGATTTTGTACTTGTTGATGAAACAGGGAATAGGGATATGGTGATTGATCATGGGACTATTGAGAAAGATGCTTTGGAATCAGCTCGGCCCAGTTTGGACGTTCATATTGATTATGAAGCAGAAATGATCAATTCTAAAGCTGTTGTACTCTTTGACAATGAGATGGGAAGTGGAAGAGTGAGTGATAATGGAGTGATTGCGAAGAATGTAGGCGAATTTAGTGGTGGAATTACTGATGAATCACTTGCCATCAGTCAAAGTGATGCTTTTCTGGAACCTGGTATGGATCAATTAGCTTCTGTAGTGAACTGCGATGCATCAACTGTGAATCTGTTGTCCGACTCAACCGTATCTCACCACAAAGATGATCCGAAAAGATTGATTGCGTTGTCTACCATGTCTCTACCTCTTGAACAACCACAACAGAGTCAAAATCCTGATTGTTGTCCTCGGACTGCGGTGTTCCCTTCTTTGACTGAAGACGCCAATCCTGACCATTTCTCTCACCCAGTTATGGTTTATTTGTGGCATGCACGTGAAAAAGGTTGCAAAAAATTACCAGACATGAGATCAGAAGCAAAAAAGCAACTCTGTGCTGCGGGATGGGAAATCAGAGTGAATCATTACCCGAGATGTAGACGAAAGATGGTGCAGTATAAGTCATCAACAGGAAATACCTATGGGTCCATTATGGCTGCTTGCAAAGGTTATTTGAAAGAAGAAAGGTACAAGAGTCCTGTTTCTTCATATGGACGTGCCAAATGCATTAATTTTGGTGGAGAAACTGAGGTCTTTTCTACTAGCAATATGTTATCATTCACGGGAAATGACTTGCACTTTCAGGAAGATATGGTTCAGCCAGACACTCTGTGCAAAAAGTTATCCAGAGAGTCTTCTAGTGTTGCAAAGTCGAGTAAATTTACTGAGTTTGAAAAAGTAAAGGTCCAAGGGGTCAGAAGAAAACGAAAAAAGAGAAATGGTAATTTACTAAATGATGCAGATCGTGTATTTCAAACACAGATCAACTTACATGAAAGAAGATGTAGGTTGAGAAATGGTTCAAAGAAAGATGGAAAACCAAGTCACCCAAAGAATCAAAATTCCTCTCTCCTGAAGGTAAAGAAAAGGAAGAAGTCACAGGCATTCATCAGCTCAAGATATGGTAAGGATCATACTCGTCCAAAGCGTGTATTAAGGTCAAGCAAACTTGTGCAAGAAGTGGTTATTCCGGATTCGTCTCACCACAATCCGCGGAGTATACTTTCTTGGTTGATAGACAACAACAAAGTGTTACCAAGAGCGAAAGTACATTATCGTATTGGAAAGGACCCATCTTCTAAAGAAGGGAGAATAACTCGTTATGGGATCAAGTGCGGCTGCTGTCGGAAGGTGTTTGGTCTTAGTAGCTTTGAAGTTCATGCCGGTAGCAGTTGCCGTACACTTTCTGCTAATATAGTTTTGGAAGGTGACGTTCCAAAGTCTCTCTTAGAATGCCAGAGGGAAATTATATGCGAAAGTAAGATGCAAAGCTTGACAACAGAATCATGTGAGGCAGTGAAGAGCAATTGGTGCCGAGGTGAGAATGACTACATTTGTTCTGTGTGCCACTATGGCGGCGAATTGCTGCTATGCGATCAATGTCCATCATCATTTCACAAGAGTTGTCTCGGTCTAGAGGTATATTCTTTGTTTGCTTCTCTTTTTTTAACCTTGCAATCTCATTTTCTTGTCTTTTATTTTGAAAATTTTCCAGCCTCATGTTTTTGGGCTATTTAATAAGAATGGAATTATGATTGTTTTGCTTCTAATAGGATATTCCAGATGGAGACTGGTTCTGCCCTTGTTGCTGCTGTGGGATTTGTGGTGAGAACAAATTTCAGGAGGAGGAGCAAACTAAGGAGGGAAGTGTTCTCACCTGCAGTCAATGCGAGCGTAATTGTAGGTTATCTTTATCAAACTATAAACCATATGCTCATGTTGAAACTCTTTGGAATGTTCCCAACGTTGTTTGTCAATTTAATAGATCATGTCGGGTGCTTCAGGAATAGACTGCCATCTCAACTGGAAAGTCATCCCATGAAAAAATGGTTTTGCACTGAAATGTGTGAAAAGGTACTTATTAACTTTTAATCTTTTGCAAGTTTTTCAGGGTGTCAGTATTACTTTAGTTTTTCAAGTATGGCGGTTTTTTTTTTTGAAAGTTACTTGAAAATATCAGGTTTTTCTTTTCTTTTCGTGTTCGTCATAAGCATTATTATTATTTTAAACCACTGCTTGGTGCATGAAATATCGAAGTCCAGTTGTGCACTTGATGAATTTTTGTTCCGTTATGATCACCTGTTTTTTTTTTTCTGTTTTTTTCCCCTGAAATTGTCTGCGTGATTTTTTCCATTTTCCAGATTTTTTTCAACCTTCAAGAGCTTCTTGGAAAATCGATCACCGTCGGTGAGGAGTTTGGGGAAAAGCTAACTTGGTCGTTACTGAAGTCCCCGAAGGCTGATAGTAGCTGTGCTAACTCTAATGATATTGATGCGTGGATGAAATTGAGCGAGCTAAATGTTGCTCTTGGTGTGATGCACGAGTGTTTTGAGCCGGTTAAGGAGTCTCGTACAAACCGAGATCTCATGGAAGATATTTTATTCAATAGAAGGTGACAAAAACTTATATACGAACTTTTGTACAATTATCTTTTGTACTTTAATCTGAAGGTAGAGTTTGTATAGATCCTTTTTCCTGATCTTCAAACCCTTTCTTACAGAAAAAGTGAAAACAAATATCAGAACTCGATCAAAACCTATCAGATGACTGGCCGCCGCTACGGAAGCCATACTCTTTGATGCACAATCTGCGCTTTTTTAATAAATGTTCAATTACTGTAGTGGAGAGATACGATTTCCGTATTAATTGTAACTTTGGAAATTTCCAAACGTTTTATTAGTTGAATCTCCCACCTTGTTTATATAGCGGCATTACAATAAATAAATAAATAAATAACAGCATAATAGAAGCTACCTAATTTTTTAATGTTGCATCTATTAAGTGTCCAAACCTACGTTATTCAAACAAATTCTCCTATGGATAATAGCTTTTAAGTTTATCTATTTGTGATGCCTAATCATGTTAAAGTTTATGAAGGTACAAATCCAACATGCGGATTTGTTCTGTTTGATTCGGAATTGTAGGTCAGATCTTAAACGTCTGGACTTCCAAGGATTCTATACAGTACTCTTATCAAGACACGATGAACTGATTTCTGTTGCTACTGTGAGGTGAGTTTCATTCTCCTTTTTCCTTTCCTTTCCTTTTTTTTTTTTTTTTCTTTTAAAGTTTCCCTCCACTCTCTGTGGGGTTGAGCCGTTCAGGTGGCTGCTTGTAAGAGCGTTATTGATATAATTATTCGAAATCACTGTCATGTAACCAAAAAATCTATTAGTTTATTTGCCTCTTTTTAGTATAAACTAAATATCTATTTTTTTTCCTTTCTTTTCCTCTTTTCTTTCCTTTTTTTTTTTCTTTTTTTTTTACCCAAGGGTCTATGGACAGAAGGTGGCAGAAGTTCCTCTTGTTGGTACACGACTTCAATACCGTCGACGTGGAATGTGTCGCATATTGATGAATGAACTTGAAAAGGTAACATGATTTTGCCTTAATGAATTTGTTCGGGAGTTGCCTTTTCTTTTCCTTGAACTGGGCATGGTTAGACGAGAGGACTTTTTGCCAATATGACTGAAGGAATGGTATCTTTTTGGGATTTTCCTTTTCCTTGAACTTGTGTATTTCCAGGAAAGAAATGCATAACCCGTGAGTGTGTCTATTAACCAGAAGAAATATATATTTACCTGAGCTCTCAATGTTAACTAAGTTGAAAGCAGGTGCTTCATGCCTTGAGCCTAATTTGCAAATGTTTCTTCTACAAAAAAGCATTTCCATCTATTTGCTTCAATCATTTTCTCAATGTTTATCATAATATGTTTGTGATAATTTTCCTTTGTTGGCCACCCAATTTCCCTTGCATAGATATTGAATAACTAACAAAGTTTGGATGTTTGTCATTCTTTTTCCCTTCAAGTTCAATTTTTTACTTTTATGAATTTTCTTTGGGAAAGAAACCTTTTGTGAAGTAGTCTTATCGTTTTAAACGTGGAAACATGGATTCTTTTATTCTGTCGATTTTCTCATCACTGTTTCTGCATTTTTTCTGTTCTTTTTCCATTTTCAGACGCTTATGGGATTAGGAGTTGAGAGGTTGATTTTGCCTGCCATTCCTAGCGTGCTAAACACATGGACTACTTCATTTGGGTTTTCACAAATGACTGCTTCTGAGAGGTTACAGTTTTTGGATTATACTTTCCTGGATTTCCAGGATACTATCATGTGCCAGAAACGATTGAAAGTCCCTTCAGCTGAGTTAATAAGCCCATTCAGAGGTAAAAGTGCTTTTCACCTTCTGTATAATGAGCACAGAAAGAAGATGGTAATTCGTCTAATTGTCACTGGCTTACTTAATGCTTGTACGCAACCATGCACGAGCAGGGCCTAAGTTTCATGATGACGTCTGTGAAGATGGAGATAGCCCTGATTTTGATAGATCTAGTGCCGCCTCTGAAGTATATCAAGCAGACCAAATCGAAGATGGTCGAGTCACAGACCAAGTACAACTGGGGTATGTCTTACCTTTTACGTACTTTTAGAAAATGGAAAAATGAGAATAAGAATGTGAAAGTTACTAATGCTTTCAGAAGTGAGACTATAATTAAACCCAGTACCTGGTAAAAGGAGCTTAGTCCCTCGCTGGGCGAAGAAGATGCTGAAAAACTTTCTAACTCGGTCGATTGCTGTAAATTATTTGGAAATTTTGACGCTGTATAATACAGGCAATTATACTTTAACTGCCTAGATAATATATACAGTTGTTGAATCATCACTACCAAAATGCATAAAACCAGATGCAACTGGATGTCATCTTAAAGTAGTGGTAAGGGAAAATAGTTCGTATTAGTCGTAGTAAGGTATGCCCCTTGTAAAAAAATCTTATTTATGTATTATATCACCCCTTTCTAAGGAGAAAGTATAAACTTCTTAAAGACAGCAATTTGTTCATACATATATTCCACTCTGCCGATCTCTATATTGATTTAAACGTTTTGCATCATGTGAAGCATTGTCCTCAAAGTGTCATTGTCTTGTATTATTCTTGTTTACATATCAGGTGAGCTGCATGTATATTTGTCTTTCAACTCTTTCTCAAGCTGAAGAGTAATTATATTTTTCCACTTGGGGAGATAGACTATTGAATTAAAGAATAGCTATATTATTGAGTTTATTCTACTTTTGTTATATATATATTTTCTTCTTTGAAAATAGTGTTGTATCATCCCTACAGGGTAAAATGGTAAATAGATATACCTTCAGGCATAGTATTGCCGGCAAACCCATTTGTTTCCTAAAGTTAAGGTTCTTGGTTTTTTTTTTTTTTCTTTTGTTTTGATAGAAAGGGTTTCTAGTTACTCATTTCTTAACAAACTTATCTCAGCGGTTGGTTGCCATCTTGACATGGGACGGCCTAGTTATGTAATTCTATGAGGTTTGCTGTATGACATGGCAAACTAATTTGTTTCCTAAAAGTGAGGTTTTGTTTTTTTTTTCATTCAAGAGACAGATTGTGAGAAGTTCCTCTTCCAATTTTTCACCTAGTTTGCTCTTTCTTGTCTGAACAAGTGTGATTGAATTGGAAAACTAATTTGTTTCCTAAAAATGAAGGGTTTTTTTTTTTTTTTTTTTTTTTTTTTTTTTTTTTTTTTTTTCAAGAAACTGATTGTGAGAAGAAGTTCCTCTTCCAATTTTTCACCTAGTTTGCTCTTTTTTTTTTTCTGAATCAATATGATTGAAATACTATGTCCATTGCCAAACCATTAAAAAAAATAAAAAATCCAGAATCGACACACACACAACAGCACCAATGTTGCCATACTAACATAGTGCTTTCTTCAGTCTGCTACTCGGGCCATGTAACAAAATGAAAAATCATTCTTCTGGCCAATGTAGAAAATTATGGCTAAAAATTAAACATGCTTTAGAAGAAAGAATTACTACTGCAGTTTACTGTTCAGAATTTATATCAGGATTAGGTGTTGATTGTTATGTTGCTTACCGTTGTGAATTTTCACCAGGATTTCTGCAGTACACAATGGTGATAGTATGCTTGTGCTGGTACTTTCCATTATTTGTTCCCTTTTCCCCCTTTTTGTACTTTCCAATTCTCTCTCTCTCTCTCTCGATAATGTTTGGCTGATGTGTCTGTAGGTGGAGCAAACACAGAACTGCCTTGAAGAAAGCAGACCGTGTATTATTGAATCTCAAAGCATTCAAGAGTACCCCACAAGTGATGCCAATTTGAAGAGGCCGTATTATAATATTAATTTCTTCAACAAGTGTTACCAGCGAAGAAAGAAATCAGCCAGGGAGAATTACGTTAACGTTTGTTAGCATAAACAAACGAACCAAACGTGATCAGCACCATATCATTTTGTACGAGGACGAGCCTAAAATGTCTTGTTAGTACAGTTATTTGCTAGCAGTTTGCGTCTGTTACAGTTTTTGTTTACTGAGACTTTGGAATTCTTTCTTGTACGAGAATACAAGAAAGTAACTTAAGACGAACATGGTGCTGAGTACATGCTTTTTTAGTGTATAGATCAAGAGATGTAAAGGCAAAAGCAGCTTTTTGTTAGTGCTTGGGTTAGAATTGTAATGTTGACATACTGTTGCAATACAAAGGTTGTTTTGGAAAAGATTAGGAGCCTCCTTCTTGTTATTGTTGTTGTTGTTTTGGTTAAAGATGGACAAAAATCTCGTAATCTCAAACTAATGACATTCGAGTTGAACAAATTATTCTTTCATGTAAAAGGCTAAACAAATACTTTGCTACGTGGCTTCTGTCGTTTCCTTCCAAAAGAAAGTAAAACAATGCTAACAATTATAATAATGTAGTGATATTGTGATGCACATATTTTATTCAAATTCGATAGTGAAAGAGAAACACGTAATTGAGTTGGTCACCATTTTGTGTCCTTTCGATGAATGGAAATAAGCAATATTCAATAAATCAAAAAGTATGTGGTGGTCGGTACTTAAATATTGGGAAAAGATTATGGTTCTTTCTATGCTATTTTTCTACGTGTGTGAGCGTATATGAAATTGTTAACGCACAAATGAACAATTGATATTTCAGTCAAGCATGTAAAAAATCCCTATACAATAGATTATATTTCACAAGCCATGTGATAAAAATAACATATACCTTGAGTGGAAAACTATAGGGTTAAACTTAATCTCACAAGTGGTGATGTGAAAATTACAAGTGCACAATATCACATACAAGTAATAAAATAGTGAATAAAGTATTGTTCCCATGATGATTACGTTAATTTTAAGTAAGTACCGAAATTGGTTAACTCTAAAATTATTTGAACAACATAAAATAAACTAGAAAAATAGTAAGAGCAAAATACAAATAAAAACTCAAATAAATAAAACTAAAATAAATAAAAGACTCAAACAAATTAAAGACTAGGGCAATTGATTTCACCAAATCTAATCTTCTTTATTTCATTATTCTTACTAACATCGCCTATTATTCATGTGTTAGAATGAATAACCATAAATTATTTAATAGTTCTTCTGGGAATGCTATCAAATACATTATCAGCATGTAAACCCACTATCTCTCGATGTGAATTCTACCACCCTAGAAATTCATTACGCTTTATGGTTCTCTTAATTGTTCATGCGAGTCATGTTACTATCGTTGGATGTCGCATGCACCTTACGATTCCTCTCACAAGATAATTGAAAGCATTAAGCATAGAGAAAGAAATAACAACCATGAATAATATACTCTAAGCGAATTAATTTATTAAAAGCAAAAATAAGTGAAATTCAATTAAATTAGAATTGGTAATCTCATACCCTTAGCAAAAGAAAATTATAACATAAAAATAAAAATAAAATAAATCAAGGATTCTAACATCTCAATTTACAAAAATACATAGATAAAAAAATTAGAAAGAAAAATCTATATGGAGGTGTCACAGACTCACTCTTCAATACCCAATCTTCAATTTTTAATTTTCAAAATATTTTTTCCCTAACAAAACCTAAAACTAAAAATAAAAATCTTAAAGTAATGACTCCAAATTCCCCAAAATAAATCTCTAAATATTTTCTCAAATCAGTTTTTCCAATTGTGCTCTGTATATTTTGACCTGCGTGAAGAAATTGAATGCGCAGGGGTCCTCCTCTCCTTTGCGGCTGCCAAGGCTATTAATAGCCTCCAAATGACGTTCATCTACAAGGGAAAGGAAAAGCTAAGTAGGGCCACTTGGCGACGCTTGATTGGTCATGAGGTTTACGTCTCAATTCTATTTTATGGTCATGAGGTTTACGCCTCAATTCTAAAGATAAATCAAATCAAATCAACTAAAATAAAATAAAACAAAACAATAGAAAACTAAAGATAAATAAAACAAATAAATTCTTTAAGAACAAAGTAAATTTAAATGTAAATAAGAAGGAAAACAACTCTATTTTATGGTCATGAGGTTTACGCCTCAATTCTATTTTGGTGTCTGACTTTTAAATTATCTAACAGTTAGTCTCTAGAATTTTACAATGTTTCAGTTTTAGTTCTTTTGTTAACTAATTATTAAATATTTCACAGAATTTATAAAAATTAAAGATCATCATTAGAAATATTTAAAATTAATTTAGAGATTATATGTGGAAATTAACTTTTTTTTGTATTATTTTACCCCTAAAATTTAGATGTGTAAGACGTTTTAAATGTCAACTACTACAAGAACGACGCCAATAATTGTTGACGCTACTGACTCTATCTCCAAAAAAATAACGTCATAAGTTTATTTGGTCCTTAGAATGAAATTTGAGATATAATTTCCCCATGCCAAATCGCGTTTGGAATTTTATTCTTACAAAACTTCCTGACGCTCGTAGGCGTCGTGAAATTGTTTTCATAAAATAAAATAATTTTGGAAAAAATAACAAACTTCCCAACATTACCTGGCTTCGAAAGTTTAATTAATAAAGCCTTGTGATGCTATGTGGTGTCAGGAATTTTTTAGAAGTAAACAATTTTAATTTTAGACAGGAATAAAATCTCCAAATCCTAATAGGATTCATTAAACGGAAATATAAAATAAGAACCCAAATCTATTTTGAGAGGAGGGGGAAATATCGTATTTAGTAGAGTTTTAGTAAGTTACAACAATTTTTTTCAAAATAGGTGGTAAATAGCATAATTTAATATCTTAAGTTTTTATTATTAAAAATATCTCTCTCATTCCCACCTTTAGTCCACTATGGTAGACAACCGGTGGCCCCGCTGTCGGTGACCCTCTGGAGGTAATCGTAAATACTATATTTATCAGAAAAGACAAGCATCTAGGTAATTGATAAATATCATGTATTTATTTAAAAATATTATATTTATCAATAAATATCATATTTATCAAAAAATATTACTGTATTTACTTATAAATAATTAAAATATAATATTTTTAGATAAATATAATATTTATCGATAAATACTATATTTACTAAAAAAATATTGTGCTTAACTAAGAATATTATATTTACTTGTCAATATCATAATTACCTAATAATTTAACCGTCGACGCTGACGAATGGTAAATACGATATTTACCTGTAAAAATTGTATTTCTCAAAAATCCAGTCATTGACATCATCGGCCACAGGCAACCGGTAAATACAATATTTACTAATAAATATTATATTTTCTCAAAACTCCGGTCACTATAAATATTGTTGGGAGGTAGCTCTGCATGTCGAGCACGCGTCGAGCACTAATCGGGTGGTACGGCTGAACAAGTCCCTGATTAGTGTTCAGGTGTGCCGAGCTTCTCTCTGACAACAAATTTAATGAACGACACTTGCTGTCCTGACAGCAGGCCGAGCACATTGCCTATAGGCTTCTCGCCGAACATGGCTGCTCGGTGACTTCACATCACGATAAACAATCTACACAGTAAATCAATCCCAACCGTGAATGGGTACTGCACGCTTCCATTGAAGTGCGACACTTGTCACAACGTCAGACAAAGCCGTACACGTGTAAAGTGATACGGAGTAAGTTTTATATTTTCTCACTTCACATGTAACGAACCCAAAATCTCAA